GGTGTGAATGCCTTTCCAATGCATTGTCACTGGCAAAAAACTAAATGGTTTTGTTCAATGTTTTACAAGCATTGTTCTTCAACTATTTGTTTTTTTCTATTCGCTTTTCATAACCAACCATGTTGCTGGCCTGTTTTTCAATTGACCACATCTTTACATGTCCCAACTGCTTAAAAACAAAAGCAATTTTAGACTTTTGTGAATGATAATTACAATAAAAAACAAAAACTCTCAGTTTCAGTATTTGGCATTTTGTCTTTTTACGTAACTCTGGCATTTTGTCAAGTTTACACAACTCTGGTTTCCTATAAAGACGTTTTGAAAGATCCAAACTTCGCTTATCTTCTTCGTTGTGTATTTTACCTGATGCACCGGATGGGGGACTGCTGTTGCCTCTTTCACCTCTAATGAAATGTCCACAAACGGGCCCTTCAACTCCTCCAGGTCCATCCCTGCAGCCTGTCGAAGCATGAAGAGACGAGTCAATCATTCTCAAGTACAGCAGAGGTGAAAGTACAACTAAAAGTCACACAGAGTCGACATTAATCTGGTCAAACGTTGAGGGAAGTTATTTATTGAGCCAAAAATGCTGGATGGCAGATATATTTCTACATTCCTGTTGAGAGCAGAAGAGCAAAGTCTGAAGAGAAACTGCAGCTTAAAGTTTCCTTTAAAGGTGTATAACCTCACAGAGAATAGCCACAGTACATTAAAACGCTCCTCTGACGCTCCAGATGTAAGCATTAACACACATCGAGAGGCTTGCAGACACATCAGCAGCTTCATGGCTGAGATGAATATGCATCAAAGGCCGGCAGAGGCAGCAGTTGGCGGTGCTATGTACTCACAATGCTGAGCAGGAATGGGAGCAACAACAGATGCACCATGGGTGTCATTACCACAGGCTGCGAACGAGGAGGACGAGGAGGCGAGGTGGGAGAAAGGAGCAAGAAAAACAAAAGTGACAAAATCAGAACGGATTTCAAACAACCAGAAGCATTGAATCTCTTGTACCTCAGTGCTTCACCAGGTTTCTGCAAGTTTGTTTAAAAATACTTTAATCTGTGTAAATGGCTGAGTTTAAATCACTCATTTAAACTCAGAAACAAGTCACACATGACTTCAGGACAACTGAAGTTGCTGTTTTCAACTCTGGGGATTTCACACCAAGGTTTCTAAAGTTCAGCATCCTTTACATGTTTACAGGAAACTTCATTATAGTTTCTGATGGTTCATTTAAGGCCTGATTAACTGTTGGAATCCAAATTTAAGAGTCAAATCTTTCCAAATAAAAGGTTTCCATGACACAGGACACAGAGCGCTTTGATTTAAATTTAGAGAAACTAAATTAATCAACTTTATAGGGATTAAATATTTTTAGGTGTAAACATGATGTTTGTTGTGCTGCGTCCTGGGTTTTGCAATTTTGTTTATTGCAAAACCCTCATTCACAGCAACAAGTTATCGAGTGAATAAACATCATTCTATGCATTTATATTTAAAAATATTGACAGACGAAGCGGTGAATTAACAACAAAATGTATCAAATCCTGATATATGTGTCCATATTTAAACATTTAAGGTTATTTGAGACTCTGAAGAAACACATTTTATCTTCTATCTTCAGCGCAATGAGTCACTGATTCACAAAGACATCGGCTACACCAAAAGGAAATTTGTCCTTGACTGCACGTGTGCACACTCAAAGCTGAATGGGAACTTTAAGTTCACAGAGACTCCACCTTCCTGGTGAATCAACGACCTGCCCTGCAGGAGAAACTGAAAGCCAGCTGGTTCTCTGTCCTGTAAATCAGATCCTGCAGGGTTTAACTGTGACAGGCCGTTTAAAGGTCCCTACAGAGTCGGCAGTCCTATTTTAATGCTGCTTAAATGGCTAAAATGTGTTTGAACCAGTGTGGTGAGGAACGATCCATTTGGCATTCATTTTGTTAAAAAAAACCAAGGTTCACATGAACTTTGGCAGATTTACAGCAAAAAAGCTCAGTTAAGATCACTTAATGTGGTAGATTTATGTTTGGATAAACGCAAACAGAAATATATATTATTACAGAAACACAACTGATAAGAAACCTGAAGTAAATAAAAATATAATTACTAGAATGATTATTTTTTTAATATGAATATGACAGTGAATCCCCTGGTCTGGGACTTGCTGGTGAAGAAGTCGAGTGAAGTCGACCCACTTAGTGAAGGTGACATTGACTCTTGGCTGATGACCTTTTCATTTCTCAACACACTTAGTATCAGAACAATCACCAGAGACTCTTGAATAAAAAAAAAATCCTTGTTTTGGAACATTTTTCTGCTAACGAACATCAGATTTAATAAAATAATCAATGTCTGTTTATTGGTTCAATTTCACCTCACTGGTTACACCCTGTCTATCTTCATATATATGTCTGGGTCAGTTTCATAAAAATCAAATAAGGAAGTGATTTGCTGGGAAGATTTAACACTCTGAAACTGAAACTTATAATGGCAGCACAATACAAGGATTTCAGATTATCTCTTAAACCTTCGGCACAATGATTAAACAGTCTCTGTCAGCGCAAAATTTACCATTTATTATGATAAATACAAAATTTTTATGCATGCAGTAGCACATATATAAGAAGCAACCTTGAAAGCAAATTAGCAGGAGTTCATATTTGCCAACGCCTTGGTCTCGGCCTCGCCAAAGTCAAGTCAAGATCACAGTAATCTGGCAGTAATCTGAAAACGCTTGACAAATGTACCAAATAATCTACCAAAGTCACGTCAAGCAGCTCTGTTTGCCTCGATTTACACCCTAACGAAGTTCAGCTTGAGCAGGCCGAACCCCGACACACAGAGAGCGAGAACAGAGGAGACAGAAGCGACTTACCTTACAGCGGCGAGCAAATGAGTCAAACCTCAGAGCGATCTGAACAGCTTCATCCCTCTGGTCAAACGTTAACTCGAGTGTTAACCATCATGTTTTATTGGATCTAATGATTGTCTAATCAGCCTGCCTGTATAAGGAGCCAGCCAATGAGAGGGAGCTCACCTGCTTGACAGAGACAGGAAGAGCAGGACATTGATACATACAGAAGACAAACCCTTTATTACCTGGTATTAGCTGTAAGCTTCACAGTTTGACTCAAACACAGGAAGATTTCTTCTGTTTTAATCAACAGGAAGCAAAAGCAATCAATTCGTAGGCGAATACTTTGAAGGATTAGTAATTTTTAATCATCACATAGTTTGATTGTGAATAAAAGTCTAAAACAGGACAAAACAATGTATGAAATACAAGAATTTTCTAAGCAGCTCAGAGATCTGTGTTTATCTTTCTAATTTCCCCTCAGACTTTGCCCTCTGGACCTCAGCCCTTTTTCTTGGGAGATTTTCTATTGGAGGCACAGCTGATAAGGAGCCGTGCGCTGAGACAAAGCGATGGACAGATTACGCTGACAATCTGTTGCTTCATAAGACTCTAAGAAGTCATCTGCAAGGTGCAGAAGGTCACAGCAGGCATGAAACTATTAGAAAGTTTGACCTCAAGCTCTCAACATCAGCTGCTCCGAGTCTTCCTGCTTACCGGAAGCATCGAATATCTGAGACATCTTTATTTTGTGTCTTGCAGCTCCAATGGGAGGTTTGACTTTAATTAATCTGGCTTTATGTTTGGCATCACAACAGAAAGATTCATCTGAATTGTTGGTTGGATTAAATTTGAACAAATACCTTCTGCAAATTTACAGAAAGAAAATGAGTGGACAATATTATTGCAGAGTTTCTCAACTGTATTTAAAGAAACAGTCAAAAATATGTACAAATACCAATAAATATTTGGTTAAGAAGCCCCCTTTTAGTTAAACTCAACTAAAAAGCTGACTGACCAAAGCGAATTATTTTAAAAATTCAGATTTGTATTATCTTTAACAATGAAGCATTGATTAAAAAGTCTGGAAATACTATTTTTATACTTCATTTTTTTTTTCACACTGACCCAGGCCTCAAATATATATTTTTTTAAACCCAGCAAAACAAACATTGAAGGCTTGATGAAAATTTGCAGCTTTTCTTATGAAAAAATCATTTCCCTTCAGGACTCATCCTCATGGTCAGACATGAAAACACTGAATTCGAGCTTAGACTCCATCGAAACACGAGACGAACTGTCAAGCACAGCAGTGGCAGCATTGTGCTCTGTTGCTTGAGAATTGAATAATGAAAAAAGGAATAAGCCTCAGCAGCTCGATAGTTCAACTTTGACAGTCTCGCTTTCTGACGCGAAACACTCAAAATCTGTTCTTGGACGAACAAAGCAGGCTAACATCAATTTACCAAAGCTCAAATCTAATGGGAATGATGCGGCCACTGGTTAAAATCTGGAAACCATTTTGCCAAGAAGAGTGGATGTAGTTACTCTGCATGAAGCCTGATCCCATCCTGAGCTGAGAGCTTTGCAAGCTAAGAAAACGGTGCAAATCCACAGAACCAGGCTGTGAGTGAATCCGTTTGATTGGCTCAATATTCAAACCGCAGTGTTGAAGGTTCAGCAGATGAAGCCACGGATTCAGATGGAAGTGACTCTGTTATGTAAAAGGATTGGACTGCATGAACGCCAGCATGCTCACAGCCATCTGCTTGCTTTCCCTGAAATCCTCGTACGGATCGCACAGCAAATGCTACCTTGGCAACAGATTCTTCCAATTACTTTCCACCTTGAGAGAAAGTTCAAGTTTAGAATCTGAGCTTGAAGTTCAGCGTCGCTGTGACCCGAATCCTGACCGGTTCATGAACTTTTTCCCTCCTGGAACTGACACCCACCAAGGGAACTGGTTCTGTTTCTCAGCCTTCCTGTCACTGCCTGACTCATCCTTTATCAGCTCAGTTGTGTCGCGGTTAAAACCTACTAGTGTGAATCCTTTGTGTGCTGAAGATGAGTCATCCATGTTGATTTCTCGTCAACAACGTTGAAAAGACACACAAAAGGGGGCCTGCTGTGCTTTCTTCCAAGCAAAAAACGTCACTTTATTTCTTCAAACAGCGATGATTCAAAGTAGCAAAAGACAATAGCATCGGCTTGCTCTTACAATTAAAGCATAAAACACTGCAGCATCAATAAACACTAAACGTTTAAGTATCACACAGGTCTTAAAAAACACATGTAAGGGAATTTTTAGTTATGTACATATTTGTAAATGAAAAAAAAAAGCAAGAAGCAGAAAGAACTAAGAAAGAAAACAATAAAAATCACTTCATTTTCTTAGTTTCTTCTAAAAGTCATACTCATGTCCCATGACTTTTGACATCACTGTAAACAGCGGTCCATTCAGACTGTCAACAGCTTGAGGCTGACCTGCACCTCCACCTCCTCCTGAACGAAGGGTGGAAGATGAACGCCAACTCTGAGTCCTACGGAGGCAGGAAATGTCCCTCCAGCTCCGTCCACGGCTGCTTTTCTGCAGCCTTTCACCCGTCTCATTTGCTCAGGTGTTTCCCCACCTGCAGTCAGGTTTGGCCTACAGCACTGACAGATTGTGGCAGGACTTGGATTTGAGCCAGAACGCCATGCTGGGATTGTTCTTCGCCACCACCTTGTCGAGGAAACGCTTGGCCCTGACTGGAAGGCTTTCTCTGCGTTTGTCGCAGTGAACGCGCCTGCGGCGTCCGCTGTCGTCTTTGGAGTCTCGTCGCAGGCGCAGCTGTCTCACGATGCCGTAGAAAGCCTCCCAGACGTTGTGCTGCATGGCTGCCGAGGTCTCGATGAACTTGCAGTCAAACACCGCGGCAGAAGCACGGGCCTCTGGAAGAACAACAAAATTGTTCACTCAAAACCCTTCAGATTTCTTTGAACTTGTAAAAACCAGACAAATGTTGACATATTTCATCTGGTAGCTAAGCAGAAACTTTCAAGTGTAATGATTGTAGCTCTGGCTGTGTGTTTGACTCTGACCCTGTATCAAAAAACATGTTGGTGCCTTTAGTACTGACCTCCGTACTAAACTCAATCAACTCACCTCACATCACATCCGACAAGTAAAGAACAATCTGTCATGCACCTTTTCCCAAGAAGTTTTAACTCCACAGCTTGAGGGGAACCACACAGAGATGCAACTTTGTACTTTCTGACTTGTATGCAGACACATTATGCCTTTGGTATAGACCACTTCGTTTACACAAGCAGTTTTTAAATATGGGAAACGCTGACTGGAAATAAATGTTACGCCGTTGTTTTGGCGACCCCTGAAGCAAAGCAGCAAAACGTCAGCCACCAAAATGACACACGGCCTGGGCCATGCATCGCACTTTATACAAAATAAATACTTTATATAGGCCCAAATGAGTTGTATTAAAGCTTGGGGATTTTTACAAACATAATCAATACTCAAGTATTTGAAAATTAAGAAATTATATTAATTATTTTGGGAACAACATCGAGCTACTGCTCTGGGGATGTATTAAACCTACCAGGCATTAATTAATGTATAGAACAACCTGTTATTACCTATTATATTGCCATTTGAATTGATAGAATATTTTTTGTGGTGGTTAGGGTACCAAAACTGTCTCCAGCCCCGGGGCCCCACATCCTTGTAAATCCGGCACTGCAGACAGGTTTCTTATTTCCTTATCTTTCATTAAGGCCAGATTTGTAGAGTGAGTGACTCACAGTCAACATTGTGGAATAATTTCCATTCACTTCACTCTTATGTGCAACATTTTGCCAGTGCATCACATAAAATCCCGTCAAAAATACTTCAAAACATGCAACAGATGCTAAAAACATTTCAAGCGTTCAGTTCATTTTTCCAGTGTCTTCTTACCGCTTGCCGACACTTCTCTCCGCCTCACCAGGTCGCACTTGTTCCCCACCAGGATTATGGGTGTGTGCCGGGCAGGGCGATAGCGGCGCAGGATCATCCGGAGCTCTGAAGCTCGCAGGAAGGACGCCCGATCGGTGATGGAGTACAACAGCAGGTAGGCGTCGCCTATCTGCATGAAGTGCTCCTGGGTCCACTCATCGCCTTTCTGCAAAGATCACAAAGAGTTCAAATCTGAAACAGTAAAGACCCATTGGACAGAGTGTCCTTTAAGCCATAATCAATGGAACATTGACCAACATGTACATTGCTGTTTTTGATCACGGATGTCAATAAATTGTCATGCTTGTTCTCAACCTTACAACTGTGTGATGTTTCTAAAGCACTTTGAACTGCCTTGTTGCTGATATGTGTTGAACAACTAAACTTGACCGATTGAATGAAAGGCAGTGGGTGCAACATGTCTCACCTCTGCATCCCAGGTATCCAACAGGAGTATAGTTGCAGGCTCTCCATCAACTTCAATTTCCCTTTCAGACACTTCATCTGGAAATAAACATGAATTTTAAGTTTTATTCTAATTTAAAAGTGCCCTACTTGTAATTCAAGTATTCTTTTCAAAGTTGGAGTTGTTGCAATTGTCACACCTCCACACAGCTCGCAGTCGTCGCTGTCCATGCTGTCCGCCGCGCCGGCGAAGATGCCGGCGAACGCCGTCTTCCCGACGCCGCTGGCCCCCAGCAGCACCACCCGGTACGGGCTCCCGGGCTCCACCGAGCCCCCGGCGGAGTCCGCGGAGATGACCGAGTCCGACGACGACCAGCTCCCGCGGCTTCCGTCCGACTCGCCCGCGGAACTGGCGCAGGACTTGGAGCGGGAGATGCACGCGGGGACCCGGGCCAGGAGGCCGTCCGGGAGGAGGTGGCTGCCCGGGTCGCAGACGCTCCAGCGGTGGAGCTCCGTCTGCAGGCGGAGGCTGTGCCGCCGCACGCTGGAGAGCATGGCGGTGGTTGTAGGGCGAAACGCTGAGACCTCTGAATGGGGTTTAAACTAATTTTGTCCCAAAAGTAAGTCTTTTCTTTGAGAAAATCTGCTTTTCTGGGTTTGACATCAACAGTGCTTCTTCATCAGGTGCCTTTGACTGAGGTGCAGAAAGATGCGCATCGCCAAAGCTCGGTAAATCCCGGAGCCCTTGTCCAGCTGGTTCCTGTGTCCTCTGCCTCCTGGCTCAGTAATTTGCGGCTCTGTGCTCCGCCGGGGTTTCCATGCAGGCTTTATATAGGGGGCGTGCTGATCTCACATGGCAGAGAGAGGAGCTTCATCTCTGTTGGTTTTCGTCCCAAAGAGAGATTGAGGAATCTAAGCCGTCTAGTTCTGCAAAGATTACCACTATTTCACGTTTGAAGATTATTCAAATCTAAGTGCAGATGGGGTGTTAAACTTGTTATTATTAAAATGTACTTTTCCACATTCAGATGGAACAATTCTTTTGTTTAATTGGCTGCTGTACAATGTTAAGAACAGAAGAGTTTTATTCATGTGTTTGATCACAACCTCTGCATCCAGCTCTTCTTTCACAGAGTCTCTAACAGTCCACTAAATTTCTACGTATGGAAATATCTCTACTTGGTCAGGTTTTAGATATGGAAACCATTTGGATGGAAAAAGAATGAAGGAGGGATGGATGGATGGATGGTAAACAACCAGAAAGATGAACAAAGAGATGGACTTTTGGATGTATGGATGGTTTGTTAGATGGCCAAACACGAACAGATTGATGATCAGTGCGATGGAGAGATGGATGGACGGATGGACTGCCGGAATGATGGATGCATGAGTTAAGGCACAAATGGATGGATGGCTTCACAGCAATATTGACTGGATGTATAAATTCAGACATCTTGGACACTGTATGGTTTACTCAGTCAACGCTGATAAAACAATCAGCTCTCTATCAAGAATTCAATTTCAGCATTGGGCATACACCTTTTGAAATGTCAAATTTGATAAGATAGAAGGCGTAGATATTATACCTTGAAGGCATCAGTGTTTGTTTATGGGGGGCCCTAGAGGACTAGACCTTTTAAATAGTTTTTAATTTCCTGTTCTGAGAAACAATCTTTCATCTTTCTGCCGTATGATTGTACGCAGAGCAGAATAGAAATGAAGCTTGATTTTATTTGGTAAAAAAGCCTCTGTAGTTGCCACAGCTGCACAGGGTTGTGACTATGTGTTAGTTGGCCACAGTTCCACTTGAATTGTCACTAAAAAAATGGACTTTTACTCCACTGTTACTTCATGATCATACAAAAACAGATGATCATGAAAAATGTTTCACTGGATGCCACGCACGTTACAAAAATAAGTTGCGAATTAGTTCATTTTCTACACATATTGAAGCTGGCTGTAGAAAGTTAAGCTATTTTCTCCCCTGCTGTGATTTGTATGAATGTCCTTGTTAAAAGCAGAAATGAGGCAGACAAAGAGAAGTCCTTGCTCTCCTCTTCTCTGAAAAACAGTCAGCATTTTGTCAAACATCGCTGTTATAAATTGTCTTCTTTCTCTGCGTGATTGAATAAAAATGTCAAACAAACGTTAGGCCGCTCTCTTCTAGTCGTTTTATACACTTTGTTTACCCTGCAGACATTTTGACAGCTACTGTGACAGAAAGTAAAAGAATCTTGTCTGAGCATCCATGAGGCAGAGGTGGGCAGTAAAATCATGAGCTCTGTTCTGCACAGCAGCTTAGCGGCCATCTGACTGCAGGCGGCACGTGTCGGGAAGAGGACAAGCAGAGGATTACCTGCCTTGGAGGGGGGAAAATAAATAAATACAGCAAAGTGGACGAACAGATTATGGGTCATTAGAGTCTTGAGCACAAAAAAATCCATGCGCTGAACAACCCAGATGTTGGAGAAGTAACAACGTGTGCTTTAGAGCTCCTGCACAAAGTCCCTTCACAGTTTACAGAGGCTGGGGCCTCAATAGTTGTTGATGATTTGTCTCCCTTCACATCAAATGCTAATTTTACTTCTTCCAGTCTGAAATTAGTAGCGATAAAAATTTACATTTGCTTGAAACTTCAAGCAAATTTTCAGCAAGCCCACCATGTTGCTGTTGAGTAATTTTTTAACTAAATTTGCTCATTCAGATGTAATGCAGCTAAGAATTATAAATGAAGATGTCTTTAAATTAAAATGATGCAATTATTGTGATTTGGATTAATTCAGCAATTTAAAAAAAGAAAAAGAAAATTAGCCCAGCGAATCCTAACTGCTGCTGCTATTTAACAAATAAAACTAGTGAACTTCAATTAGCTGATATCTTCTGAAATGCTTGTGCTGAGATAACTCTTAATTGTCGGATCACTCACAGATCAGAAAGTGCACATCGCTGCTCTGATGTGCTGTAAAGTTCGGCGTAGGAGTTCATGATCGCTGCTCAGCTTCCAACTCCTGGCAGATAATTAACAGACATTACAACACAGACTAACAAAGGAACAAGAAATTATTTGCAAATCCTACTTTTTTCTTAGCGTTCTCTTTACTCGAGCATAAAGCTGACACGGTTAACAATTTAAAAAGTTCGATTACAGAACCAAAAGTGGGGTTTTTTATGGGTTTTTTTTTAAACAAATCTGCAGGAGAATTACAATTTTAACACATTTTACAGGTTTTTTCTTGTTTGTTTTTTTTTACTTATTATTGGTTTTACAAAATGATTAGGAATCATTCAGAATAAATGCAAACTCAACATCACAGAGTAGCTCCTAGTTAAAGATGATTTTCCCGCCTGAGCAGCACCGGTTCTACGGTGAGCAGTGAGGAACGACGACGCCCGGCGGTGAAAGACACGAGGTGTGGCTCCAAACTGATAACAGAGCTCGATATCAAAGAATCAGGCGCTGATTTATTATGTGGGGAACCATTTGCTGCAGCTTATCTTCGCCCGATACTATCGAACATTTCACTCACATCTACTGGCTGTCGCATAATTATGACAATAAGTTGCGTTAGAATGAACCAGTCAGTGTTTAGTGAAGGATGCAAACATCAGCTCATAAACATGTGAGCCTCATTTTCAAAAACGCACGAGAAAAGCAGCAGCAATCTGTTGAAGAAGAGGGTTGTTACAAAAATTGTGGGATTATTCTTTTTTTTTTTTCACTGTTGTTTTTCTGAGACTTATGGACGGGGATGCGGCCTCATCTGTGTGACCTGCTGCTGTGTATTACAGCTCTGATCTGATCTGCCTGACAGACGACCAGACTACATTAAAATCCCCGTTAAGTGCTGGAGGGGAGCCAGGGTCGGTGGGAGGGATGCTCAGGCCAGCTGCAGGCAGCAGGGGGATGTTGATGGACGCGTGCTGAGAGAGAGAGTTGACCTCTTTCTTTCTACTCTTTCAGAAACGCACGAGGCCGCAGTCAGCCTGGTCCTCACGCCTCTCTCAACTTTATGCATTTGAATAGATGTAAATCACATGTATAAAAAACACACCAAAGCTTTGTTTTAAAGTGTTAAAGTTTGCTGATTTAGTCAAATTTAAGACTGCACAAATAATACACAAAGCAAAAAATAAAAAAAGTTGTGTATCTCTGTGAAATAGTTTGCCAGAGCATATTAAGTAATAAAACAGTTTGAAAGGAAATTAAATGATTGAAAGCTACACAGTGACATGAAGACTTGAAATGTCATAATGGTGATTTTCTCTTGTTTGGACTTAATTGTTGATCCTGTGCTTTCGGTTAATTTTTGCGACTCTAAAGCTGCAAAGAGAGGAGATTAATTATTTGTAAAAAACATGTAAGGGTGAGTCTGAGTAAACTTCAGTTTGTACCTTTTTGATCTATACAGTTATGAACATTTCTATTTGACTTTGTTTTGCAGTTATTTTGTGTGTTTTACATAGAATTTAAAAAAAAGTTTGTCTTTTTAACTGGGACGTAATTTTCTTCATCCACACTTAAAGGTGAATTTAAATGAAATGTGACCTTTCCTTCTGTCACAGGGGTGTTTTTCTCAGAACTGGTTAATTTATGATCAACCAATAGTCTGCCTGTTGCTGCCAAAGTTACAAACATCTGATTAGTTGCACTTCCTGATTAGTAAGGTCACGTTTTTGCCTCTGGTTTGACCCTAAAACACTATTTTTTTTTCTACTTCTTTTCAGATTTTTCTCTATTCAGGTGTAGACTGTGGTGTTTATTCATCCAAAACGTTTTATTTTAAGACAGTATGTTTTAATCCAGAGCTTTAGTACACAATGTGAATATGCTAGAAGCTGCAGTGTTTGTTTCGAGGTTTGTTTTTGTGTGATTTATGGCAATGTGTGATTAAATCAATTCTATGTGGTGTGGACTTTATCACCTTACACATCTCAATATTAAATATGGGCAGAATGAATAGTTGAGTGGATGGAGGAACAATTTATGGGATGGATAAAAGGAAAGAAGTCTGAAAACACAAATATCCTCCACCCACAATGTTTTTTGTCTAGGTTCATCCAAAAATGGGAAATAATGTAATCAAAGCCTATATTTTTTCCAAAATTAGCTGGAATACGTCCTTATTTTGCTGAAAATTGTCTTTTCAAATCAAACCTCTAATGCATGTTTATTATTTCTGTTCATTCACGTCACATTTCAGTAGCAGCACATCTTCATATTTTCTTCTTGTTTTGATCTTAAACAAGAAGAAACAGGATCTTCTAATTTAAGAACATTGAAGTTCAAAATGTCACTTCAGATTTTATTGCTTCTCTCTTCAAAGCTTTAAACTATCTAGGTTCAGATCAGCAGAGAAGAGCAAATAATTATTAAAGGGTGGGAGAAGGGTAATCAATATTTGGATTCCAATTTCAATCACAGAGGACAGTCTGCTTTTATTACCAGGGTGAAATATTAGATATTAATCCCAGTGGAGCAGGAAAAACTGCGTTCTTGCTCAACAATCAACAAATTATTCCCCATCAGCTGCAGCGCGTCTCATTTAAAAGCCACCAAACCTGGAGTTTACATTCATGCTGCCTGTTCCTAGATTAATAATGAATACCAAGTACGACGGTGGTGTCCAAATATTTTTTTCTAATGATCAAAGCAAAAACAATTTTTTCTTATTTTTACCAGCAAAGAGAAAACAAACTGAATGTACAACAGTTTAATGAAATAAACAAAGCAGTCAGATTTCTAGATTTAAAACAACAACGGATCTGTCACGATAAATATGCGCCGGACGATAAATTGTCCCAGTAATTACTGTGATAAACGA